GACACATAGCAGCAATTCACCGGAGAGTTCCGCTTTATTAGGGAAAGGTACTGGGTTATATAGGAAGGGGCATGAATTGATTGAGGTGTCACTTCTATGGGGCTGGTGGCTGTTGGCTAGGTGCTGGGATTGGGAGAGGGGCGAGAGGTGATTGGGCTTCAGGTGGCGCCGGCGGGAACTGAGGACCCCGAAGAGAAGCCGGAAGTTTGCCATCTTACTGGTGGGGGCCCTTCAGACACCCTTAGAAAATCAAGTGATGTGACAGCACCTATATATATGTATTTTTAATGTATGTTTAAAATGTTAACATGAGTTGAGTTAGAGGTATTTAAAGACACACAAAAAAATTCTAAACAGGAAAAATAATCATTAAAATTTAAAAATGGAGTGGATAGATTAAATACCAAATTAAACAAACCACAAGTGAAAATTAGTGCATTGGAGGTAGACAGGGGAAAATTGTGTGGAATGAAGCAGAGAGAAATGAGGCCAACATATGGAAAAACTGTGAGAGACAAATGTCTCCAAAAAGGAGATATTTAAGAGAATGGGGAGATACAATATTAGAATAAAAAATACTGAAATTTTTTTGGAAATAAGATTTGAGTACTGAACGTAGGAGGCAGAACGAAGCCCACATAAGATAAATAAAAAAGAAAACTACACCGAGACATGTCACCGTGAAACTGCTGTTCCGTAAGGACAATGAAAGTATCTACAATGAAGCCACAATGAGAATTTACTCAAAAAAACCAAAACTTGTACTGATAGCAGAGCTCTCACCAGGAACAACTGAAGCCAGAAGACAGTACTCTATTCCCCAGGAATGAAGAGAAAATAGCTGCCAACCCTGAATATTGTACCTCCTAATCCAAAATTTAAAAACCCTCAAAAATCAAATTCCCTTTTAAATGAGACACTTAGTAAAGAAATGCCTAATTTCTTTCCTCATCCTCCCTCCCACCCGCCTGGTAGCACTCCTCATGGGCCAAACACATCTGGAAAGCACAGAACAAAGGGCTTCTGGCTACAGTACGTTTGGGTTGGGTTCCTGGGGCAGGAAGCAGGGTGAAAAGAGCAGATATAGATCTGGAGGCACAGATGGAAGATACAGAATATTTTATTCTTCCAAGTTATGGAATATCTTGTGATAAAGTATATTTCAGAATAACCATGATACCTACAATATTTTATAATGCCTGAACACTTTAAGCATCAAAATAAATAATGGCAGTAATGGATTATCATTTGTAAAATGAAATAAATTGGTAAATTTTGATATAAATTAGAAGAGAAAATGAAAAAAGCCAGTAGAAGGCCAACTGATATATATGGAATGACGGAGTTAGAAAAGCACTATTTTACAAACCTCGTAATTGATTCAAGAAAGATTCATCAAGGGACATTGACTAGTGAGTAAAAGTTTGATTTGGTGCAGGATATTTACACATTCAAAAAGTCTTCTCAGATTGCCTGTAAATATAAAAGGAAAATGTTAATTTTAGAGTGGAGACAGCCAGTGTAAACTACCTTAACCAAGTCAAAGTCAACAGGAAAAGTGAAAACAAGGGCCCTCGGACAGAACAGACTGGGAAAGATGCATGTTTATGCAGTAAGTGCATAGCTTGAACCTAATTAGAAGGGAAGTTCAGATGAATCAACACTGAGGAATCATCTATGAAAATCTTGTGCTTTTCCAAAAATGTCAGCTTCATGAAGAACAAAATAAGCTGGGAATCGCTTGAAAGGAGACTCAAGTGACAGGACAACAAAATGGAATGCATGATCGTGAGATACATCATGGACTAGAAAAAAAAATTTCTCTGCAGGAGCTTAATTGTATTATGGAAAAAAATTGAATATATACAATAGGTTGGATAAGAACACTGCAGTTCAATTTTCTGATTCAGATCATCTTTATTGAGGTTATATAAGAGACTGCCCTGTTTTTAATAGATCAACACTGAAATATTTAGGGAGAGAGGTGTGATAGCTGCAATTTTCAAATAGATTAGGAAGGAAATTGTATTTATACATGGAGAGAGAGAGAGAGGGTATGAGGAATCAAATGGAACAAACTGTTGACAATGAATGAATCTGGATGAAGGAGATAAGAACATTTGTTTACTATTCCTATAAATTTAAATTTCTTATTTCAAAACAGAAGGATAACTGAAAGCAAACAAACAAATCAACGTAGAGGTATAAACTCCATAAACCTACCTTTACATATCTTAGAAAATTTTACCATGATTCAAAATAAGCTTGCTGACATAAGGCAAATTTTTCCATTTATAATATGTAATATGTAGAATAAACTGTGAATGATCAAAAAGCTAGTTGGAGAATCATATTAAAAAGTAGCCAAGTTCAGTAGCAGGCCATTTCCTTTTATGGAATACACACCTTTGTTTCTGCAGATACATAATGGAAGTTTCAATTAAATTGTCTGAAGTCAAGTGACTGTTTACATCTTTTCAGTAAACACATAAAGGCTTTCAAATTTTATCTTACTGTTAATCTCTTCCATTAAAATAGTTTTGATAATCAACCTGAAACTATTTTTTCCTTTTTTTTCCATAATATAATGCTTTCATTTATTAAAATATTTTATACGGACTTAAAAATATTTGATGTCACTTATCTCACTTCTTAGAAATCACACAGAAAACAACATGCGTGGCTACACTGAGACACAGGTCCTGCCTCTGTCACAGTAATTTTATTGCAGTGGTGACAATGAGACCTATAACATTTTTTGTTAGGCTCATGAGTAAAAACTGGATGTAACAGAACCGGTAGAGATGATTCGAGAATATCTAGTAATAAATATTTGACATGCTTTATGTTATTTGCCAAAAGGGCAATCTACTTCCTACAGTTTAACTTCTAGGACCCTAAGGTAAATGGCTTGAAGAAATTGGATCCCAGATATTACAGGTGGGGAATTTTTGAAGCATATCCATATTCAAGTGGAGATCAAAGATCTCCAGCGGGAAGAATATTGGACTGACTGATAATGACAACTGTGGATTGAACAGAAGTTGACTTTAAAAGGTCTATCTTGAAGATCAAGACTCAAACTTTGGAGGAGCAAAGGTGATGGGCGGGGAAAGCAATCACAAGCAATTTTGGCGTACAAAATTCCTTAAATAAAACTGTATTGGTTTAAAACAATTTCTCTTATGTTACACTTTTAAAAAAAAACCTTTACGCTTAAAAAAATGCAGTACTCTCTCAGTTTGTGAATGAAAGAACCCCAGGATTAATGGCATCACTGCAGAAGGGGATCCAATAAGCCTATTCCCCAGCCTTGTTCTATGTGCAAATTTGCAACCAAATGTAAATGTTACCGAAGGGCTAGATAAGTCTACCACCACCTCTTCTTTACCCTATGCAGAACAGAGACTAAATACAATTGACCCTTGAACAGCACAGGTTTGACCTGCACAGGTCCACTTGTATGTGGATATTTTACCAATAAATACAATTGGAAAATTTTTTGGATATTTGTGACAATTTGAAGAAAACCCTTTTCTCTAGCTTACTTTATTGTAAGAATACAGTATATAATATATATATAACACAAAATGTGTGGTAATTGACTGCTTATGGTATTAGTAAGGCTTTCAGTCAATAGCAGGCCACTAGTAGTTACGTTTTCAGAGAATCAAAAGCTCTACCTGGATTTTTGGCTAAGCAGGGGCCAGTGGCCCTAATTCCTGCACTGTTCACGGGGAAACTGTATTTCCTTTTAAGTTAACTGTAGAAAGTATCTCAAGAAGAGTTGTTTTGTCTTACTTTTACCTAGTCTATATCCACTTAGCCATCTTTGAATAACACTTTGGCATGAAAAATGAAGTAAAACTTTATCCTGCTACCTTCATACTAATGATCTCTTCAGACCTTACTATGGCTTGAAAACTTACAAATTACTCAGTGCTTTTATTGCCTAAGAAAATGCCTTGCTCAAGGTTGGGGCCTAACACACATTAGAAAGCAATCAAATGGGATGGGATGAGATGGACACAAATGCAACTCAATGAGAATGACTGAAACAGAATGGAATTTATGGCTCAGGGAAGGACAAAAGAGGGCTGTACTCAGTCAATTAAGCATGATGGCATGTATGACCTCAAGCTCTATAGCACTTCTGTTAAATAATAAACTTCATCATTGTGAAGAAATATCCCATCACCAGTTTATATCGTATACTAACAACCCAACTTCCTAAAGCTTACATTTAGCAAATACAAAGGTTTGTTTTAGAAAGGTTAATTCTGGGTTTGATTGACAGGCAAACTGAATTTCATGGGAAGATGCGGGTCAGGGAGTACAGTAATAGTAAAAAAAGGAGGCGCTGTCTAATAAAAGTGGATTGAAAAGAACAATTTTATGTAAGCAATAAGGAAATACTTCCAAGACAAAAGAGAAAGAGAGAAAGAACAAGTCGCAGCAGCCTGGAGTAGGGGCTTGTCTTAAACCTATGCTAGGTGCAGTTTGCAAATTGACAAACACTAGCTCAGAGGCAAGTGTGGATCAAAGAGTGAAATTTTCATGTGATACCGTAAGGTTCCACCTCGAACACAGAGGAAAAGGTAAGATTCCACAGAGAAAGAAGGTAATAGAGATGATAAATATAGGGAATCAAACCCATACATTAAGATTTATCAAATCAGATTCAGTGGGTCTCCCTGAACTTTTATATTATCTACCTGGGCATATTTGGACACCCGTTTTTTGCACATCGAAATACAATCCTTTTGCTCTCTAAATAGATTACGAGGAATATAATGCATTCAGGATCTGTGGCAAAGAAGGAACAGTCTTGGAAGGGAAAAGACTTCAATGTCACATCTAAACGCCGATTTGAGAAATAGAAGAGGAGGAAAAGGTTGCCATACCACTGCTATGAATTACAAAAATGCTTATATTCATACATCACCTTATAGTATAAAAGTTTCATGACAAGGATTGGGCCTTACAAATTATTCTGGATAAATAGGGCAACTATCCACAGGTTTTGATACTGTTTGTTTTTAACAAAGGAACAAAGTACATCACCTGCCTCACCACTGGGTGATGGAGAACTAGCGGGTACATTTTCTGACATTCAATCAGGAAGCGAAGTCCCTGAACACATGTGTCATGGCTACTGAAACATACTGGAATTAAACTACTACACCTTCCTATTTATTGCTTTTATCATCTTAATAATTAGAACAGCTATTCTATTAAGCGTTGATAACATGAAAGTTATTGGAGCAAGACCTTCAAATATCATGTAATCCAGAAAGTCAATTATTAGTATACTCGTTTATTTAAAAGAAAACTCAGTGAATGTCTTAAGTTCCCAGCACAAATAAGTATCCAACCTAAATTGTGAAAGTTTTAATTTCAAAGTCAGTATCCTCAACTACACTGTTATACTGTGGTTGACTAGTTTATTTCATTTCATTCTCCACCCAATATTGATTATATCCTGTAATTGCCATTTATGACTATATAGGTAGTTGTACTTTACCGTGAAAAGGTTTACTATTGTGCTATGCCCGTTAGAACTGTGTTATTTTGATCAACCACAAGGGTGGACATATATATACCAGTTGTATACTACTAAAAAATAATAATAAAAGGCAGTCATAAAACCAAGACTCAGAATTGACTCAGAACAGGGAGTCAATCCTGCAAAAATACTGAGCTGATGTCCACCGGGACCCCCTCCGCCGTCATTGTTTTACTACGGTCATGTGGTGCTCCTTGTGACCACAGACTATCCTCTGTCCTGTCAAGGGAAGGGTGAAAGGATTTCCAGGAGTGCTCAGCACCTAGGAGGAACCCTCAACAAGTGAGACAGGGGTTTGCATCTGAACAGGCAGCCCCCTCATCCCCACGGAAGAGAACTGAGGCATGCTCAGGGCCCCTTTGGGAAGGAGCTCCAGGCTGCCCAAAGCAGACTTTATCAACACTCCCCAAATTGGCTGCCTCTTCTCCTTCTCCTTATGGACACTTCCTGGGATCAGCTCACCCCAGAACCACTCAGGTTCTCTTGTCCCACAGATGAAGGCCTTTATTTGGGAATCATCCATGGTTTTATACAAATAGAGAAATAGCAACTGCTTTTTCGTAGTCCACAAAGATTTGTACTTCCTCCCTTATGGTAAATATGATCCAAAAAGATAATGAAGTAAACCAGATTAACGTTACTTATTATTAGAAGTTAATGTCATGAGCTGAATTGTGTTCCTTCTCCAGGAAAAATTTATGTTTTGAAGTCCTAAGCCTCTCAGAATGTGACCGTACTTGCAGACAGGACCTTTCAAGAGGCAGTTAAGTTAAAGGGAAGTCATCAGGGTGGTGACAACACGGTATGACTGGTGTCCTTTGAAGAAGAAACCTGGACACAGATATGCACAGAGGCAAGACGATGTGAAGACGCAGGGAGAAAAAAGCTAGCCATGCACAAGCCAAGAAGAAGCCTGGAGCCGAGGCTTTAGGAGGAACCAAGCCTGCCAACACCTTGATCTTGGACTTCTAGCCTCCAGATACGTGAGACAATAAACAGCTGTTGTTTAAGCCATGCAATCCAACAGTTTGTTATGGCAGCCCTAGCAAATGAATACAGTCAGAAACTGATTATCACTATACTGGAAACATCAGCTAAATAAACAGAAATAATAGCAACAATGATGATAATACAAATATCACATACGAAATGCCTATCATGTGCAGCAACCAGGCCAGGCAATTTATGTGTGTTACAGTCATGATAATATTTATATTTCAGAGAGGTGTTATTGTCTCCATCTTACCAATGGGAAAACTAGAATTTAAGGAAGATGGGTAACTTGTTGTGGCCCCACTGCTTTTGTATGAAAGAACAGGACAGCAAGAATCCAACTTGAATTTGTGATATGAGCCTCTTAAAATACATGAGAATATCCAAGTCTAATCCTTGCACTATTACTGCTGTACAGTTGAGGGTTAGTAATTTAATTTTTCCATGATGTAGTGTCTCCATGTGTAAAAATAAAAACTTTTACCTCTGGGGAAAGGAATGTATCAGAATAGACAAGGTTTAATTTCAGAATGGATTTAGAAGACATTTTGATAAATCTGAAAAAAAATAAAAGATGAACCTAATTATGCAAGCCACTGTGCTAACTGCATAGTGACAACAAAGCAGCCTTTACATTTTAAGTTTCGTCAGTGTTCCCAGAATTACACCTTCTTCATGCACTGCAAGCTATAAACCGTCCGTGTTCAATCTCTCCATGCAAAGTCAACCTAGTCAACGAACAACAGGGAGTTCACCAAGGTACAGAGGCTCATCATTCATCACTTCTGAGGAGGGGCTATTGCAATCCTAGTTATTAGGTATTTAGTGTACTATAGGCAATAAAGAAAAGAAGATATTGCACTTCTCAAATGCCTTGCAAAGCATATGGAAGGCAGCCAGTCAATCACATGAGTGACAGGTTCTGAAAACCTAATTAAAGGTGTGAAAAGATAACGTGTGCACCAGATCTTTCCCACTTGCTCTTTCCTCATTAGGCACTATTTAGGACATTCTGGTTTGAATTTTTAGAACTACCTTGAAGCAAAACTCACTACCAAGGACCAAGAATTGGAGCTATTATGAATTATTTGCTTTACCACCAACTCTAGGTGAACCTAATGTATTACCTGAGGCATTACAATACTAGAAAACTGGGAGCTATCCCCCTTTCATTGAACAGAAGAGCAGACTCACCACA